AGTACCGAACTCTCAAAGGCATCCATTGTGGAACATCAGCCTTCAGCTTTTCAGGGCACATGGGAGCTGTCTGGAGACACATCGTGGGTGGTTGACACACCGTTACGTACATTAAACTTGCGCTACACACTTAGCAAGTGCAGCTTTGCCACCCTTCAGAGAAAGCCAGCACATCTGAGATGTCGTCAGTAAAAGCAGACGTATCCTGACTGAACCGCAGTGGTCTCTCTGGGTGAGGTAGAGGGATGATGCAGCGGCTGGCACCTTCCCATCGTTGTGACCCTGACCTGCAGGTTGGCACACAGTGACTTGCATGTGCGGCTTACAGAAACGTTTGTTTCTCTTCCTTGAAAAGCCTGTGTTCACTGCGACCCTTAGTGACACTCCAGATAGTTAAAATGGTGTTGGTGCTGGTAGTTCGTGTTGATAGAGGAATGCCAGCCATTCCGTGGAAGGAAGTCATCGGGTGGTCATGCAGGTGCCCCCTGGAACAGACAGACAGCATCAACACATGGCAAAACCATGGAGCAAACGCTTTGGGGAAGCTGGGTATGTGCGTGGTCTCAAAGTTCCACTCCCCAGATTACTCAAGCCAAAGGAGAAGGGTTCCCTCACAAGGGAAAGAGCTGGTGAGCACCCCTGTGCTCAAGTGACTGCCCTGATGTGCCTGCTGGTGAGGCACAGAGAGACGGGAATGCCGCCCGGTGCCCTTCTGCTGCTACACTGCTTTCCCGGACCTAACCTGAGAAGACAGTTAGGCACCGCTCCGCTGTGGGATGTTTTCCAGACACCGGGACTCTTCAACAACAACTGTCTTCATAGACCAAATAAATGAAGGGAAGAAGTACTGTTCTAGATTAAGGAAAACATTGAAAAGTGGACTGCATTAGAAAATGGGTGGCATTTCAGTATGAAATTCCTTCAGTGTGATCCAAGTGTGGTGGCTTTTTAGAGTGGCCTTTTCACTTATGAAATAAAATATCTCCCAGTGAAGCATTCTGATCTTTGCAACTTCCATGCAAATGTGCAAAAAATCCACAGTTGATCAATCTAGATTAACGTAGGTACAGGTGTGCATGGTACTTTTCTTCCAACTTTCTATAGGTTTAAGTTTTTCTAAATTAAAAGTTTGGCAGGGGGACTGACATGCTTTCTCTCAGTGCTGCAAGAAAAACAAAGTAAACAACACAGAAAGATAACAGAAGAGTAAAGTAAAAATCACCCCACATTCATCTGCCCATAGACAACTATATTGGTTGCCATTTCAGCCAACCTTTCCCGAGATATTGGGGCTGAACTTACGTCTCTGTTGATCAATCTAGCCTTCCACGTGACGTCTTCTGGCTGGTGTTCGACCATTGTTCTTGGAAAATGGTTTTCTTCGTTGAAGAAACCAGGCCCTTGGGCCTGTCGAATGCCCCACGTGCTGGACTCGGCTGCTTGTTTCCTCGTGGTGGCGGTGGTGCTTGCCAGGCCTGTCCTCCATAAACCACGAGGGCACACCCATTGACGGCAGCTCACCTGACAAGGGGGCTTCGCAGCGCTGGTAGATACCTGGAATTGAAGGGCACTAGACTCTTTCCGTGAACATGTATTTCCCAACTAGTACTTAGGTGTGGGCACTTGATTCAAGTTTAGTGGTTTCTGCTCTTGGCAAGAAGATGGCATAGGTGACACCTCTCCCTGTTCCCTGCCAGCTGTTGTCTCACTTTGAAGATGAAGTGGACGGTTCAGGTAGCATCAACCTGATCAACCCTTAAAAGTCTTTTCGCTATTTTTTCCCCGTATGGTAGCCCTTGATGATAGCTGCCTGAATCCGTTATTTCACGAAGGGTTCCAAAACGGTAACTTTTCTAATCTACTGCAATCTACTTACACGTATTGTTTATGACTCTCCTGTAAAGAAAACCTATTCCTCATTGTCTGTGTGGTGACCCTGAAATACAGGGAAAGTGGAGGAAATCCTTGATTCGTTTCCTGTTTTTTAAATAGTTTTTAGAATAATAAGCTGCTGATGTAACATACAGGGAGCCCTCGGGTGCTTTTGGGTAACCACAAGTTCCTTAGTTCAAACCCACCAGCTGCTCCATGGGAGAAAGATGAGGCTCTCTGCCCCCATAAAGATTTACAGGCTTGCTGTGGGTCAGAATCAATGCAGTAACAGTGGGTTTGGTTGGGTTCAATTTGTTTCTGGTTTGCTTCTAATCTAAAACCCACTGCCATGGGCTCAATCCCAACTCCATACATCTTCCAAAGTGAACAAGAAGGATTTTTTT